AAATATTCATATATATAACATTTTTTCCCGGGACTAAAAATTTAAATATTATATTTACCAAGGAATTGAAAATTCAAAGTTGCAACAAAAATCATAATTAAATTTGTTAATTAAATTTGTTATATAAAAAATTAGTTTTCACAAATTTAATACAAACTTTATATGTATGTATATATATTTTTCACATTTTTTTTAATCTTTATTTCTGTTAAATAAATATTAACTCGTTTTCTGCCTTATCAATATACGTTAATATGTAAAATTGTTGTATCATATACTTTCCTGAATTACCATCAAACGATCATTCATAGATTTATTTCAGAGTACGAACACGTCATAAAGAGTGCGTTCCGAGTTTCGCATGAAACACATGATGCACCATTTGTCCTTGTTGTTCACCAAATAATAAAAAAGGATAAAACGATCATCATGCGCTTCATGCATAAGGCTAATAATAAGGGCATAATAATAGTAAAGTTTTCGATCAATCGCATTGCTCGATTGTTACGGTTACGGTTACGAACGATTGAATCGAGCAATGCGATTGGTCGAAAATCTACGTTTACAGTATTGTTACGAAAGGTGTGTGTGTGTGTGTGTGTGTGTGTGTGTGTGTGTGTGTGTGTGTGTGGTGTGTGACTAGCTTACTCGGAACTCAAAAAGGACACATTGTCCATTCTAGTGTATTCTAGGGACACTATTCGTGTTTCATTCAATCACTGGCAGGTTGCAACCTGCATCCATAAATAGTTATGCAAATGTGATACGCCACGAATCACGGATGTACGGCTTTCGCCATAACGATGAGGAAGCTGTTTTGCTGTTTTTCATAAATTATCTTGAAAGACGGTCGGGCTGTGACATTGGCAGTCTTACTGAATGACGGTGAACAGACATTAGGTAAGTCAACTCCGTCGGCTCGCCGAATGTCGTGATATAAAATGAGAATGATCAAGTCAACGATCGATGTCCAAAATGACGCGAGGCGATGAGGTGTTCAATTTTTCAGGGAAATTATTGTCGCCTTCATTAGTGTTTATGTATCGTCGCGGATGCTCCGCGTTATCGAAACAAGCGTATTTCGATGAGGACACGTAATGGTATAAATATTGCCGTTACGTATTAACCTCCTACGTTTGATTGTACGATCTAACTAGATAACGCGTGATCGCAGTCTATCTGTTCGGGACGAAGTGCCGGATTAAAATATTTACACACACATACATTTTGTATAACGCGGAGTGTTATACGGTATGGTTGTTGCGAACGATTGACTCGCGGAATATTTTATCTTGTTAATTATCAGTCAATTTGGCGAAGTTAAAACGAACGTCTTAACTTTGCCCCACTTGTGGTTCCTATGGAAATCAGTTCAGTTTAAGTTGGTGGTTTTTTGGTGGATTTTTGTAGTGGAACGGTTCTTGGAATTCTAATATTTTTCTTATAGTTGGTAAGTAGCTGGAGGATTGTTCAAATACTCTAGCAAGGTGATAAATAGTGATTACTCATAGCGATTCTAAATGCTAAGATAAAACACCTTACCTTCCCTTATATGTGAAACATTGTAACTTTTACACATATAAAAATTTTACTTTTATCTATGTTCATTATGTAGTATAATACATAGGTACACACACTTCTAGAATAAGCTGTTACTTAAGCTATAAATCTTAAGCAGTAAGTAATTGATCAGTCACAGTCGAATATGAAAATAATAATCGAGCTTGATCACTAGATTATGGATATTTATGCAAAATACTTAACTGAATATTTTGTATAAAATACATATTTTGCATAAATTGCATATTTACAGATGGCAATTTCAATCTTTTTACTTCATTTTTTAATAACTCTTTAACGAACAACGATTGATTGCTAAAGTCCAATAGTTAATATTCAGTTAAGTATTTTGCATAAATATCTACAATTTAATGATCACTAAGTAAATTTCTTAGGCTTAAGACTCAAAGCTTAGGCTTATTGTAGAAAGCTTATTAGCCATTTATGCAGTTTCTATATTTTTTTTGTACTGTATTACAATAGAATCATAAAATCTTGTTTTAAAACATATTTTTGAAACGTACTAGTAGAATGATGTAAAATTTTAAATGACTTGGTGACTTGAGTAAATGTGACATATAAAATTTTATCTGCACACTTACCACGTCTGACTCCCATAACTTCCTTTGTTTTAATTTGTTTGAAGTATCGGAGTTATAGTTTGTATCATTTTATATTTATGAGAATAATAAATTTTTAAAATAATGTATTCTGCTTTGTGCTACGTGTCTCTCTCTCTCGCACGTGCGCATATAGAATATAAAAGCCCATAATTTTAATATACTTATAAAATTAAGTATGATATCTGTCTTTGACATTTGCGTATGACTGTGTTATACATTGGATATATATGGCACTGTAAATATTTATTTCGGTTAAATATTAGTTGTTAGCACATGCGGCAGTAATAATGGTAAGTAAGTACGGCTAATTAAAATTTCCAACTAAATTAAAATAACTAACAAATTTGATATGCTACCAGAAACCGCTACTGCAGGGTTGGCTAATACAATACTGAAATACATTCACAGATAAACTCGGTGATATCTGTGAACATTCGCTTATACTTTATTGGTGCATTATGATTTTCTTCTAATGTGCTTCTTCATAAAAAGTTACGTTCGCGAATTTTGTAAGCGAATCTTGCAATTTTGTGCCAACCTTGATGTGCCATGGCCATCACTTTTTTTGGCCTTATAAGATTTCGATATTTTCAGAGAATATTTCTGGTGACCGCGTCATCCGCTGTTACGACCGTACCATGCAGAACTTTGATGATCTCGATATAGAGGGACGTAATCCTCATGTATCAGAAGAGGCTAAAGAAAAGGTAAGTAAAGAATGTGTGCTACTGAAACGATTATATATATAATAATAGCAACGATTGCTATTATAAATTAGGCTAGTATAATTGTATAATTTCAAACAAATATATCTTGTTAAATATGCAAGTCCAAGTTTCAGTCAAAATAATTGTTTTGCACATGTCTGTTATCATGTCATATACATTTAACGTTCCATTCTCCACAAAAATAGTATATGGACCATTGTGAATTACGGATATTTTTGAGACTAGACATTCGACAACGGAAGATCAATCTGCCTTACGAATCGTTTATGTTTCATAGGAAGAATATGATCGGAAGCGTATAATGCGATGCAGCGTTACCGCCGAAGACGGCGCACTCAGACCTGTTTACTCCGAAACTGAAGATGGTGATATATGGTGTCATATCTGTAACGTTGCTTTATTCGGGGCCCATAAATTGATAAATCATAATTTGTGTAATCGTCACAAAATGAAACTGGACGAGTGGCCATATCCGGTTATGCTATGGTCCAAACGACCGGATGTGGCCAAGATGATCGCGCCAGTGCAATCTACCGCTACCGATACCCTGGCACCTGGTGAGCCAGTACCACCTGGTATGGAAGATCAAATAACGCGGAGTACATCGATACAGATGAGTTTAGATCGTCATCAAAGCTCGCCACTCGTCGGTCTCGAGTACCTATTGGAGTTGGTGGACAACGACTCCTGCGAACCGAGTTACACGTGTGTTTTGTGCGACAAGCGTGGCGATCCACGTACAGTAATGGCTCACATTACCAGTTACAATCACCGAATCACGTATCTGAATAGACACTTTTCAACTATATCGCGAGCAATTGCGGAGTTACCGCGTACCCCTAACTATAAGCGCGGGGCCAATGAAATTTCGGTGTTAGTGGCGAAAAAAATCGAAGAAAAGTTTGGAAGAATGAAGCCGCAAATGGTAGACAAATCTCAGTTTGAAAAGAATAAGATGCAATATATCAAGAGGGTATATCAGGACGTTC